TCATTTCAAACGAGCAGGATCCGGCCCGTAGGCCGTAGTTTGCCCACGGCTGCACTAGAGTCACTGACTCGCTTCTGTGCGAGTTTACCCTCTGGTGCTATCTTCTGTTTTCTCCTGTGCCGGCTCCCTTCTTGGCCATGGCTGCTTCTATCCCCTGAGCTTTGACAAATATGAAAACAACAGCAACGTTAACAATAGCAGCCACCAGAGACTGAGAACTTATTCTGTGCCAGTAACTGCTCTGGGGATGCTTTTTAAACACACTGCTAACCCTCATAGCAACCCTGCAGGGTGGGGGTGGGTATTAGTAGTGGCCCCACTTTACAGATGGATAGATCAAGACTTTCATATTGTCACTTGCCTCAGGCCACACAGTTTAGCATCGAAGACCACAGCCAAGCACTGTGTTCCTAGCGATGGGGCATCGTGGGGATGGGAGCTGTGAGTTCTGTTCCTGTTCCCTGAGTTGATTGCCCAGGCTTGCACGGACCTGTTTCATGGGGTTTTAAAAAACTGGGCACAATTGGTATGGCCTGGCAGACCAGAGGGAGGAGGCCTGGCATTTGAGGAGGGGATGATTGGATAAACACACGTGTGACCTCTCTGCAGGGATGATACCTGATAATGAAGTGAGCGAACTTTAGGATTGTTGCTAGATTGTGATAGGAATGTGCATTTTGCTAATTTAGTTATAATCAGGGTTTCTGGCTCTGCTTGCTTTTTGCGTGTGACTTTTACTGCAGAAAGCTGCTCTCAGCCTGTTCTCATTAAATCCCAAATTAAGCAAGAACCCCAGCAGGAAGAGAGCAGCTCTGGGGGACCAGGCCTCGCTCGTTCACACTGTGTGTGCGGTTGGGTGTATTTATTTTATTCCGTCTCTGTGTGTATGTGTGCGTGTGTCCCCTTTCGAGAAAACTTAAAAATAACTTCTGCCAAAGATTTGGGCACCCAGGGTTGTGTTACTGAGCAGACACCCTCCTCCCACCCGCGGTCTGCTGCTTTGTTGATGTGGCCAGGCTGGCGTGGGCAGCTCATCTGCTTGTAGAAGCCCAGCCTCTCCTTTAATGTGTTTTCCAAGAGGAAAGGCCTAGGAAGCCTTGGGGAGGGAGAGGCTGCCTGGTGCTCGGGGAAAACTCAGCGGTGGGAGGCAGAGCCGGCTGGCTTTGCATGATTTCACTTGGGAATCCCGGAATGTGGATCCGAGTTGCTCAGAGAAACCCAGAGAGTGTACCCCAAGCGGAGCATCATTATGCCCATTTCACGCTGAGAAGCAAACAGTAGGATGGATGCACAAGCTACATGCCGGTCTTAGAACGAGACTGGCATGTGTCTTGAACTAATTGCCTGTGGGACCCAAAGGAGTAGATAGTTTATGGTGTGGCGTGTTCTCCCACTGCACTGCTTTCTCTAGCATTCACAAGAGTCCCTGTGCAATAAAATTCAATGGAGTCATAATTTGGAAATGACTTTTAAATGTTTTTTAACCCAAAATTCTATTCATTCATGCATTCCACAATGATCTATTGAGAACTTACCAGTAATTTTGCTTATTGGCATTCTGGGCATTGGGGATACAGCAGTGAGGAAAACACACAGGACCTGTGACCTGGTGACGCTCGTGCTCCAGGGGGAAGACAGGTTAATCATATAACCATACAACTGCCTGGCTGCCAACTATGATGTGTGGAATCTGATGCGTTTTCCTATCGTGGGACCTGACCTAACCTTGATGGGACCAGAGTCTGTGTTATTTCCAATCAGCCATTTTGTACTTGGCAGTTGTTTGTTTTTTTGTGTGTGTGTTTTGAGCCTACGTGTGGGAACTTAAAATTTGTTCTTTTAAACGTCCTCTCAAGCTCTGGTCCCTTTTGCTGATCTTTCAAGGTGTATTTAGCATCCAACGTGGTAGCTGTTCCTACTTGTTTAGTATAATCCACCGATTTGATAAACATACTTTCCATGATTTTGTCCAGATCAAGTGAGTGTCCACTACCAGAGACCTCCATCTAAGGAGACTTAAATCCGATTTGCCCCCATTCCTCAGTGGTGAACAGCATTGTGGGATTTTTTATTCTCTCCTCCTTTATTATCCATAAAATATTCAAATATCTACTATGTTCAAGATCTTTCAATTTCAGAATCTGGGTGTACCTTTAGTTCTTAGCCAAGAACTTAAATGGCTAAATGTGTTCTCTTCATCAGTGCCTGTTTCAGGTTTCAAATCTCTCTGGCCCACATTTGTTCAACCGTTTTCTTTGGAAGAAAAGGTGGAATCAGATTAAATACTGATTCACCCTCTTTCCCATCCCTGCTCAAAGCTGCACGCCACTACCTTCATGAAACCACTCTTCCTGTATTTAAGGAGGACAGAAGTGAGGGCCCTTGGTGACAAAGAGAGCAGGGGGATAGAACTAAAGCAGCAGTTGTCAAAATGTGCCCTGGGGACCCTTTTCAGTCTTTGAGGCCATGAGTCCAAATCATTTTTGTAATAAAATGTTGTTTGCTTTTTTCACTCACCTTCTCTCCCAGTGTATAGCGCAGCTTTCTAGTAGCTACAGATACTAATACTGTGATGTCACAACAGCTTAGATACAGAAACAGATATGAAAATTTAGGTGTCTTCCATTAAGTCAGACAGCAAAAACAACTCTTCTTTTTTTGTTTTTGGAAAACACATTTTTTCTTTTAAAAATGTTATGTTAACACATAATGGGCTTATTGATGCTTTTAAATGAACTAACATTTTTTAGTTTTAATCTCTAACACAGTGAATATTGATAGCAATAAATTACAAACGAAAATTTTTTGGGATCCCCAGTAATTTCTAGGACCATGAAGGGGCTCTGGGATCAAGAAGTTTGAGAATGGATGAGCTAGAGGATAAGGGGTCATATAGGTGTTAGGAGAATACCAGTTACTCAGGAATCAGACACGAGCCAACAGAAAAGCTTAAATTCATGTCATTGCCAGTCCAGATGTTCTCAGTCTGTCCCAATGGGTGAGTTGCATAGGATGAGAGATTCCTCTGGAATGATGGAAATCCTTCTGTCCCTAGGAGGAGAGGTACTGGGCTAGGCATCACCTTGCTACCACGTTTTAGGGGTATGCTCCAGGGGCTGCTCCTGAAGCTCCCAGGGGGCAGGACCAGTGCCACTGGGTCCTCTGCACTGTGTGAACACAGCCTGTGGGGCCTGGTTGAAATCTCAGCCCAGATTCCCTAAGACAGTTACAGCCTAGAGTTCCCCCATCCATCTGCTCTCTGGGCTTGTCTCCCACTCAAGGGATCATAACCAGGGCTTCCTCACTTTAAGGAGAAAGAAGCAGGGTTTCAGGAGGAAATGTCCCACGAGCCCTGGGTGGTGATTCTAGGCCAGATGTGCCAAGGGGTGAGTGGTATTCCAGGCCAGATATAGAGTTGGGGGTGTGCCCAGCCTCTCCAAGGGCTCAGCTCTCTGCTTGACAGCCTCCTCCCTTCGCTCCACACTCAGACTGGAATCTGCAGCTCTGTGAAAACCCATGAGCTTCCACCGTGGTTTCCCCAGGACTCCATTGAGAGCCTCTACAGCTGGCAGCCAGGGGTTTCAAAGGTCACCCCAGCTGGGCGGATTAGAACAACAGATCTCCCTGACCGGGTGAAGCTAGCTGCCCAGCGGAAGGCGAGTTGCAACATCTGCGAGCAAAGTCTTTTTTCAGTCTGGTCCTGGGCTCTGCGGCGTGCCTGGCTCTTCTTCCCTCTCTTCTTTGGACAGACTGTGGACAGGAATCTCCGCAGCACAGTGGGAAAGCGTGGCTGCCCAGCGTCCCGACTCATGTGAGAGCTGCCCGGGGAAGAGGCCACGGTAAGGCGTGTCTGTTCTTTGGTGTGTGGCTCCACTGCTTGCTCCCATGGGTTACAGCAAGTCAGCGTGGCACAGCCCACAGCACTCGGGAATTAGGAGCAATCAGGGAATTTGTCAGGATTGGAGTTTTGCAGAGAGCGGATTAAGGTGGGGAGTGGAGCTGTCATTGCCTGGTGGTGTGCTGCCTCTGATGAGTGTGCTGTGGCCTGTAGGTGGGTTCAGTGCTGCCAGCCAGGCTGCCAGTGCAGAGGCTGCTGGCAGCCCTTCCTTGTAGGGAAGATGTGGTGTTTCCGGGTGCCCTGCCGACTGACCCTGACTGGTGCTTAAGTGCCGGGGAGCGTGATCACGCTCCTCCTGTCTTTCGCCAAAAGTGCCGGGAGCGCTATCGCACTCCTCCTGCAGTGTCACTATTAGATGCTAGTAGTTCACTCTTTATTGACAGATGGCACCTAAGTGCAGATTACTTACGATGCCGAATGTTTGTAGTTCTAAAATTGACCAGATTTCCCTAAGTTTTTGAATATGTAACTTCATTTACTTGCGATTCATAATTTTTTTCCTAAACTGCTGTAAAATCAGCAAAAATGCCTTGGCAATTTTAGCATAGTTCCTCGGATATTGATTGGCACTCAAAGTTAAAGACAGCGATCACTTAATATGAATGCACTTTGGGCAGGAAAGGGGTCAGCTGGTTTCTCTAAACCTGTTCTGCCACTCAACTCGATCCCCATCTTTAACTTTTATTCTGAGCCTTTTTTGCCTCAGGGTTGCACTCTGTTTTGGCCATAGTAAAAGTGTTCCTTTCTGGGTTCAAGAGACAATTTATAGCGCTTTTGATCAAATTCAAGTCAGATTAACTTAGTGCTGCTTTAAATGACTAATACATTCTGTTACTTGTGGAAACCTTATTTGGAGGTGAACTTTGGCCCAAGAGAGAGTGTGTGTGTGTGTGTGTGTGTGTGTGTGTGAGTGAGTGTGTGTTTGTGTGTGTGTGTGCGTGTGTGTGTGAGCGTGTGTGTGAATGAGTGTGTGTGTGTGAGTGTGTGTGTGTGAGTGTGAGTGTGTGTGTGTTTGTGAGCGTGTATGTGTGAGTGTGAGTGTGAGTGTGTGTGTGTGTGTGAGTGTGTGTGTGTGAGTGTGAGTGTGTGTGTGTGTTGGGAACGAGGGGCTGCTTCCAGCTCTTACACCACTGCTCTTTTGGACCCTCTTCCATTTTTTTCTCTTCTTCTTTTTTCCCTGATCATTATTGAGTAAAACTTTCTAGTTCAGCGGTTCTCAACCTGTGAGTCGCCACCCCTTTGGGGGTTAAACTACCCTTTCACAGAGGTTGCCTAAGACCATCCTGCATATCAGATATTTACATTATGATTCATACCAGTAGCAACATTACAGTAATGAAGTAGCAACGAAAATAATTTTATGGTTGGGTCACAACATGAGGAACTGTATTTAAAGGGCCAGAAGGTTGAGAACCACTGTTCTAGTTGGTTTGTTTGATTGCAGCCACCAAGCACCACTCTGCCGATAGAGAAGATATTGCAGGTGTTCTTGATGGGAGTGTGGTCGCCAGGATGGATGAAGGATTAGATGGGAACAAGGATGGTTTAGTTTGATTTTTTTTTTTATAGAGCATTCTAAATATGTCAGTAGCCATTAATTGGAAGCAAGGAAGGAATCTTTATGTGTTGATGGTAGGGGATGGGGCAATGGACTGAGCAGAGCTGTTTGGGGTGTATGGCCGGCCAGGGACTGGGCTCTGGTCCTGCTTGCTCGATAGTTAAGTAACTGCCCCACAACCGCAGGGGACTGGATGTCTTCTGGCTGCATTGACTTGCCTGTTCTGTTTCTAACCATGAAGCCACACCTCCCCTAAGGATGGATTACTCCTGTCTTCTGTGTTCTTGAGCCTAAGCATGTTTCTTTTTTTAAAAAAAAAATATTTTTTAATTGATTTCAGAGAGGAAGGTAGAGGGAGAGAGAGCTGGAAACATCAATGATGAGAAAGAATCATTGATCAGCTGCCTTCTGCACGCCCCTTATTGGGGATCAAGCCCACAACCCAGGCATGTGCCTTTGATGGGAATTGAACCAGGGACCCTTCAGTCCACAGGTTGACGCTCTATCCACTGAACTAAACTGGTTAGGGCTGAAGCATGTTCCCTTTGATGATAGTATCTGGGGCCTTCGGGAAGTTTAGGTGGACCTCAGCAGGTCTTGGATCAAGAGGATTTGTAGAGGGTCCCGAGCCTGATGTCACCACTCCTAGTTTTCAGCTCCTCTTACAGCAGAAGCCGAAGAGCCTTGTGTCTTCCAAAGCCAGGCCTGAGGGCAAAGGGGAGGCACATTTCTCTCTGCAACTCCCAGTATTCCTCTCTGCAATAGCCTCTGCCTATGGCATCTCTCTTTACTGGGAATAGCAGGAAATTCCTCATCTAGGTCATGGGCTTGGCTTGGTTTCCACTTCTTAGCTTAGCTTCTTGACCTTGGACAAGTGTGGTTGGCTTTCTGAGCCTCGGTGTCCTCACTGGTAAAAGGAGCATAGTCAGGACTGCCTGGTGCCCAGCACGGGGTCAGAGGCACACACCCTGCCCATGAGACGGTGCTACTAGAACAGACATGGCATCCCTTCTTCCCCGTCTTTTCAGAGTCTTGCCATCTGCCTCTACTACTGTTACACAGTAATCCCACTCAGCTACCTTGTCCTGAAGAGATGAGGCTGGCCTGGGCATCTTGCCATCCTGCGCGAAAGAGTCTGTGTCCTCTGGCGGAGAAACTGGTTTTCCTTTGGGAGCTGGATGATGATATTGACAGCCACCACTTCTTGAATCCCCTTTATGCTGTACTATGTGTTCTAGACACACTCTATTCAAATCCTCCTTCAACTTTGTGAGACTGATATTATCATTCCCACTTTATGGAAAAGAAGACTGAGGCCAAGGGAATTGACATTCCTTGCCCAGCTCACAATTAGAAAGTGCAGTGCCTCTCGATTTATGGCAGGATCTGACCCTCAGGACACCCACCCCCACCTCCACCCCACTCCTCACCCTCCTGGTGCTGACAGCACAGAGTGTTATCTGTCACCTCACCTCAGTGGCAGTGGAGGAGGGCAGAGGAGCAGTGTCCCTTCTGGAGTATGGTCCTAGGTAGCCCTGTAGGATATAAGAGTCCCATCTCTTCCCTACCCATGTTACTCCACTCACCACACACACGTACCTATTCACTGCCATACCCTAGCACCTAGCTTGGCATGTGGTAGCTGTTCAATAAACAGGTTTCAAAAAATTTTAAATTTTTTTCAATTATAGTTGACATTCAATATTATGTTAGTTTCAGGTATACTGTATAGTGGTTAGACATTTATAGAACTTACAAAATGTCCCCCCATAAGTCTAGTACCCACCTGGCACCATATGTTATTGACTATATTCCCTATGCTGTACTTTATTTACCAGGACTGTTTTGTAACTACTACTTAATCCCTTCACCTTTTTAACCCAATCCCCCAACCTTCCTCCCATCTGGCAGTTTTGTTCTCTGTTTCTATGAGTTTGTTTCTGTTTTGTTTGTTTTGTTCTTTAGATCCCACATAGAAGTGAAGTCATATGCTATTTGTCTTTCTCTGTCCGACTTATTTCACTTAGCATAATACCCTCTAAGTCCATCCATGTTGTTGCAAATGGTAAGATTTCAAATTTTCCAAGAAATATTCCATTGTGTATATACCACATCTTCTTTGTCCAACTGTTTATTGATGTACACTTAGGTTGCTTCCATATCTTGGCTACTGTATATGAAATGTTCTTCTCTGTCTCTTGTTATAGCCTTTGTTTTAAAGTCTGTATTGTCTGATATAAGTATTTCTACCTGATTCTCCCCCCCCCTTCATTTCCATTTGTCTGAAATACTTTTTTCCATTCTTTACTTTCAGTCTCTGTGTCTTCTGATCTGAAGCGGGTCTCTTGAGGGCAGCATATGTCTGGATCTTGTTTTCATACCCATTCAGCCACTATATGTCTTTTGATTGGAACATTTAATCCATTTACATTTAAAGTAATTATTGATAGGTATGCAATTTTTGCCATTTTATTATTCATAATTTTTATCTTTTCTTCTTCTTCTTAAAGAAATCCTTTAACATTTCTTGTAATACTGGTTTGGTGGTGATGGACTCAGTTAGCTTTTTTCTTTTTCTGGGAATCAGTTAATATGTTTTAATTGAGTGAATGAATGTTTCATGATTCATGCCATTACAATTATATCACGGTTACTTTGAAATGGTTCTTCAACTACGTACACAAACACAATCCTTTAACTATGACACAATGCTAATAACTGAATCCATGAGATGAGTAGTTGAGGTGATCATTTTATCATTCTACTTTTCTGTGTCTTTGAGATTTTCCATAATAAAACTTATTTTTAGTTTAAAATTTCTATATTATTAAATTTCTATCATTTTTCTTGTAAGTATACACTCATATAACTGCCTGATATTCCACTGTGTTTAACCCATCTTACTGTTAGATATTTAATGTGTTTTTTTAAAATTTCTATTTAATTGGGTTATTTTTCTGTTTCTTTTGCTATAAATAATGTGATTAGCTTTCTCACATACAAATTTGGGGCCGCATCTCTGATTGTTTCCCAATTACACATTTCTAAATGTAGGATTACTAGGAAAAAAGATGGACATTTGTTTAGAATCATTTTGCCAAATTGCTTTCCAGACAGATCGCACCAATTTCTATTCCCCCGGTTGGGTACCAGCATGCCCACCTCACCACAGTCTCACTGGCATTTTGTTATCGCTCCTTTTAAATATCAATTTGGTTAGTTCCTAAGATAATAGCTTGTCCTTAAGTTGCACTCTTGGGTTCTTATTGTGACTAGGCAGTGTCCATGTGTAGTGCTCATTTGTCTGTCTTCTATGAGCCATTAAGGAATAGCCCTTTCCCATTTATCTGTCAGGCTGTTTTCTTACATGTAAAGTGTCCCAGTCCTTCGTTTTTACTGTAAACATTTTATCGCAGATTATCATCCATCTTTTAATGTTGTCCAGAGTATGCTTTGACATACAGAAAATCTTAATTTTTTAAAGCTAGGAGCAGCTTTCAATTTTCTCCCTTGTTACCCCAACCTCAGGCTCTCTTCCCACCAGCCAACTCTGACTGCTTACAGGAGGTCAGAGGGCCCAGTGGTTAAGAATAGGGGCTCTGGTGCCAGACACCTGGGTTCAAGTGCCAGTCCTGCCCCCTATTCAATGCCAAGACCTTGGGCAAATTTCTGAATCTCTCTGCACATAGGTTTCTAATCCATAAAATGGGGGTGATGGGATTATTTATCTTACAGTGTTGTTGTGAGGAGCAAATGAGCTATTATTTATAAAGTGCTTAGAACAGCTCCTGGCGTACATAAAGTGCTACATAAGGTTTGCTTGCATTATTGCCGACTGCAGCGAACCTTTTGGAAGGGATTTTGTTTGCAAAGCTAATATGGTATTAGTGAAAGAGAAAGCTGGATCTGTCCAGCAGGATGTGCCCTGTTAAACAAATCTAGGTGTTTGTTATTTTAACTTCAACTTCAAAATATTATCTCCATTTTATTTTTATTAGATGTTATTAAATTTAAACAAACTAATTACATGCTCACCCAACTCACAGTGTGGGATTTAAATGTGTGACTAAAGATCCCAAAAAAGTGAACAGAACATAAAAACTAGACATATTGTTCCTCTTCCGTTGAGCGGATGTTTGTCGTCTGCCTGCAGTAGGCCAGGAGCCATGGATTCTGTAGAGCATAAGACATGGTCCCAACCTGGAGCCTTCCCAGGCTGGGGAAGCTTCCACCTGGATTTCAAACCTGGAGCAGGGATACCTGGGATGTATTCTAGGTGGTGGTTGAGGGTGTCCAGTGAGCTTGGCTGGGATCTGACCACTCAGATTCCGTCACTGATGCCTGTGTTCCTAGCCTGGTTCTCCAGACTTTCCAACGGATTTAGGGAGCTCTCCCCTAACTCCATCTTCCTAAGGGACACTTTCTCTCTTTATGAGAGCCAGAGCCGGTTTCTGTGGTAACAGAGAACTTGGATTCCTGCCTGTTACTAATCCCTCTTCTGGAATCAGTCCTGTCTCTTTGGTCCAGCTGACTCTGCCAGTCCCCATCGATAGGCATCTTGTCTAGTTCCAGCGAGGCCCTGGGCGGGGAGTCAGAACCCAAGGTGTTCTCTCCGGGATGTCTCTGGGCAAGTGACTTACCTTCTGGGCCTCAGTTATAAATGAAGGAGTTCACCTAGATAATCTTAAAACACTCTCTTCTCTTCTGTCCCGTGACCTTTGAGGCTTTTTCACAGTCTTGTCCCAAAAGTAGGATGTCCTCCCTAGCCTTCCTTCCCTTCATTCAGCCACACACACTCACCTCACCCAGAATCCTGTCATATGAATCCCAAACTACTTTCTTTCTTGGAGTCTGTATCCTGTTTTTCTTTAGTTTGTGAGTTCTCATGGTGCAAGCAAAAACAGCTTTTCCTTTCTGCCACACATGCCTAATGTAGATGTTGATTCTGAAGGGTCAATGACTGATATATACCGATTTTAGATACGTATTGTAAAAACTCGGAGGACTGTTTGGTTTCTCTGTTCTTACCCCAGCTGCCGCTTTCCTGGAAGTTCTCCATGGGGTTTTGCAGAGGCCAGGGCATGGCCCCGGGAGCTGGCGTCTGAAACCAGCTGGGCCTCACCCTGGCAGCCTCGCGTGCGTGCGGAGGACACAGAGCTTCTCATTCCCAGAGGAGCTCCAGGTGGACTCTGACCTAATGGGGCACCCGCTCCCTGTGAAACTCACAATCCCAGGCCCAGCAAGCACGCTGGGCCTGCTGCTGCCTGAGGAGAAACAGGACTGTGCTTTGTCTCATCTGACCTGTCTTCCTTCCTGTTTGCAGACAATGGGGGATGTGAAGCTGGCTGCCTCGGCACACGTTTCTAAAGCCTCCCTCAGTGTGGATCCCTCGAGAGTCGGCTCCATGCCCCTGACCGAGGCCCCTGCTTTCATTCTGCCTCCTCGGAACCTCTGTATCAGAGAAGGAGCCACCGCCAAGTTTGAAGGGAGGGTAAGATGTGGGCTGGATGAGAGGCTTGGGGGAGAGGGGGTTCGGGGCGTTAGACTCCTTCTGGAGCCTTTTCCTCATCAGGATGGACCTGGTAGAGGACCAGGTTTGTTTTGGACCCACATGTAAAGTGAATATATGCCATTTGCCCTATTTATTTTTTTATGACTTTGCTATGTTGGAGGACTCAGGGAGGGGGTGTGGAGGGACACCGAAATGTTCTACTGTTAATGTAGGTCATGTCTGGGTATGCAATACCTGATTATAGGAGAACACATGTGCTGGTGGCAGGAAGCGCACAGCTTGGGTTTAAATAAGTGCCTTGGAATATGGACAATTAAAAACTGACTATAATGTTTCGTTCCCTTTCTCCCTGGAAGGAGTGTTTAGTTAGCTAGCCTTCTCCTGTGTCCACTTGGTACACCCAGTGCAATGGGATGGGAGGTAGGACCCCTTATCTTCTGCTAATGCATATTGGTCCCTTTCCTTTCCCGGGTCCCCATTTCTTCTGCTACACATGGGCATGATAATCATTTGTCCATCTTATACTAGAAGGGAGAAGAAGATGGGAGCATTGAAAACTGGCTATCAGAATATCTGGTGTTATGCCCAATTGGAGAGACTCAGTGAGCTGCTGCCTTAGACCACTAGGAAGTCAAGTCATCCACTTGATGTGGAGATGCATGTGGAAGTCAGGGGATTTGCAGGTAATAGTTGTCCTGGATTCAACACGGGGGTCTACCCCAGGAAATGCTTTAGAAGCTAGAGGACTTTGATCGGAGCAAAAGACAACTGAGGTGGTGGGAAATTCATAGGTTGCACTGTGAATCTATAGTTGACCCTTGAAAAATATGGGTTTGAACTGCGAGGTCCATTTATACGTGGATTTTTTCCAATAAATATACAGTCAGCTCTCTGTATCCCCAGGTTTCATATCTGTGGATTCAGCCAACCATGGATTGAAAACAGTATTTTTTATTTGCAGTTGGGAATCCACAGACACAGAGAGCTGAATTAAATGACATGTTGATTTTCAACTGTCTGGGGGTCAGTGCCCCTAACCCGCATATTGTACAAGGGTCAATAGCACAATTCAGGAGCAGGCCCCTGAAAGCTTGCAGGAGGAAGGGATTGAGCACCTCACTCTTCCCAGGTGACACTGGGCCCTGCCTTTGTTCAGGTGCCAAGTTTGGCTGGTGGTCCTCTGGAGAGAGTGCAGGGGTTGTGCTTTGAAAATGGCCCGGGAGGCCCTGCACCATGTGCTCACACAGGCCTGTCTAGTGAAGGCTGCTGGCTGGTAGTTGTGACATAACAGTCCTTGTCGTGTCTGTTATCTGAGGAAGTTTGTGGAGGAGGGTGGCGATGCTGATGAAGGGTCTGTTTCTTCTCTCGGGGCACCACCAGAATGAAGGCTCTTTTCTGTTGTCCTGGCTGCAATCCCCCCACAGCCCCACAGCTGGCAGGGCAGATGCAGCAGGAAGAATCCCTAGGGGGTTAGGAAGCACTTGGATAGCCATGAAAAGGAAGGAAGTGCTGATACATGCTTCAACATGAATGAACACTGGAAGCATCATGCCAAGTGAAAGAAGCCAGACACAAAGGCCACATAGTGAATGATTCCATGCATATGAAATGTCCAGAAGAGGAAAACCTATGGAGATAGAAGGTGGATTAGTAGTTGCCAGGGGCTGGGGAGGAGGAGTGGAGAGGGACTGCTAATGGGCCCGTGGTTTCTCTTGGGGATGATGAAAATGTTCCGAAATCATATGGTGCTGATGGTCGCACAACTCTGTGGATACATTATAAAACGTTATAAAACATTGAAGTTGCACTCACAAATAAAAAATGAAAAAGTTAAAGGTGGCTTTGCAAACTGATCTCATCTCTATACCCACCCTCTTGCCCTCTGCCTCTGAGATGACTGCCTTCCTCAAATTCAGACAGACTGGAGAGGAAGAAATGACTTCTCTTCCTTAGAGTATGTTGGTGCCCTTGCTTCCTTTGTGACTTTGAGGTCATCGTGTTTTTGAGTTATTTGATTTGGAACTGTCAAGGAATGGACACTGGCCCAGGAGCCAGCACTGGAGTCCTTTGTTGCTGTCATTGTCACCTTCTAAAGACCTATTTCCTTACCTATCTATATAAAACTCTGATATGCAAATCAACCAAACGGCAGAATGACCGGTGAGCAGGGGTTGGGGGGAGCAGCGAGCAGGTGGCACCAGGCCAGCCAAGGCGGTGCCAGCAGGCAGAGGGAGGCGACTGGTGGCAGCGGTGATGGGGACGGGGCCAGAGTGTGTGCAGTGCCCCACTCCTCCATCACCCTGCCATTTGCCCTGCAGATTGGCTCTGATCTCCGGCCAAGTTTAGGGACCCTGCTGGTGCATGAATTTTGTGTATTGGGCCTCTAGTCGGAGAATAAACAACTAGTTGTTTCTGTATTTCTAGCCTACAGGGATGTAAAAAGAAAATGAGCTGAAGAAGAAAATGGTAAATGCACTTAATAAAGTTAAAAAGTATAGTAACAGCATTTTTTTAATGAGGTCAAATTCACATAAAGTAAATGTAACCACCTTAAACAAAACAATCCAGTGGCATTTAATGCATTCACAATTTTGATTGCAGTCTTCTTAAAGTATAGCAGTCTCTATGTGAAAGTTTTGTTAATTTTGATGAAATAGTTGACATATGTCACATGTGGACTACATGTTAAAATGAATGTGCTGCTAAGAAGTCAGCCTGCAGAGCTACTTTACCGCTTACCACCTGCCTGGGACTAACCCAGAGCAGCACCATGACAGCGTGCTGGTGAGCGGTGGGCACAAAAGGAAGACGGTTCCGGAAAGATGTTAGAGGGAGTGCCAGGCTCCAGCTGCAGACTTGCAGAGAGAAACGGAGAGGGAAAGGCTGTCATAGAAAGTGCTCTGTAAACTAGCGTGCTGCGAGTGTGTGTAACCACTGTAGCAGGGACACAGAGGGACATTTTGCATTGCGGAAAGGCCACCTCAGATGATTCCAGAATGAGGAAGCTGGTTGTTTTGACACCAGAGATGAAGTTGTCAGGGGTGTTCCTGACCTGGAGCCCTCAGCGAAGGGAAGGGTAAGGCAGTGTGAACCTGAAGTGACATGGGCGTTGAGCAGGTTATGGAAGCCTGAGCTCCAAGGGAGTTACCCACTGAGCATGGTCCATGGTTCTCTGACTTCATTGCTGGGGCTGCTTGACCCTGCCTGCACCTGACTCCTCCCTCCAGGTCCTGTTCTAGATGCTCATTCTGCACCAAACAAGTTCTGCGTCAGGTTTACAATAACCTCATGACCTCAACTCTTCAGTCACTGGGCTCTTAGAGAATCTCTTACAAGTGAGTGACTTTTAAAAGTTAAACCTTCAAGCTACTACTTGGGCCCAGGCTGGTGCCCACTGTAGCTGCCGGGAGTCCTTCTCTTCCACGTGGTGCCCCCGAAGCTCTGCCAGCTTTCCCCTCCCCCCACCCTTCCCTCCTTAAAGTTGCCACCAACAGCTTGAGCCCTGGGGCCTGGGTGTGAGGGTCCTAGGATGTGGGAAGGGGCCTCCCATGACTGCAGAAATACAGTGGACACCACCGATGTGAGAAAGCTGTAAAGGTTTGTTTCCTGCCACCTCCTGACGCTGGCAGTTAGAGGTTGGTTCGAACTGCACTTTCTGTTTTTATTCCTGAAAGAGGTAAAAACGGCTGCCTGTCCTGCCCCTTTTTCCTTTTCTTAGGCCTATATTTAAGCCAAGGACTTAAATGAACCCTTTTCTCCAATAAAGCCCCCCTTTCCAGCAAGAAGACTTGGTGACATTAAGGTGGGGCCACAGGTGCCCCTTGTGGTTCATGTCTTTTCTGAGATGCCCTGAACTATGAGATGTTTGGCTCTGTGGGTCTCAGTCCCGCACATCTACTAGGGTTTTTCTAGTTTGTGGCAGATACGTTGGACAGCCAACACATAACCCATGACCAGTCCCTTTGCCCTTGCCCTTCTCCACTGTAGAGGCCACTGTAGGGCTTTCCTTTGCAGCTAAGTGTGGCAGTGACGCATTCTGGCTGAAGTCTGCTAGGGAGTTTCTGGGGAAGTTCTTGCTTTTCTGATTTTTTCTTTTTCTTTTCTTTTTTTTTAAGAAAAGGTCATTACTACTGCTCTCATATTCCACCCCTCCCCACCTTCCAGTCTTGAATACAGATATGATACCTGGTGCTCAGGCAGCCACATTAAAACCACAAGGCAACAAGCCAGAATACTAAGGTTGGTGTGTGTGTGTGTGTGTGTGTGTCGGGAGGGGTCAGCAGTGGATAGAGCACGAAGACCAGTCGCTAAGAGAAAAAAATGCTAAGGCTTAAAGACTTTCTCAGATAGGATCTTTGGCTGTGATCATTCACACAGGAACTTTTACAAAAAGTATTCCTAACTGATAAAACACCTAATAAGATGCATGTGGAGGCACTGTCTCTTTAAATGATGGGGTTAAATAGGGAAGCAGTCAAAGCACAGAGAAGCACTGAGGACACTTTCAGACCCTTACCCAGTCTGCCAGCAGTGAGGGGAGTGCCCTGTTATGAGTTGAATGTGGCCCTGCAGTCAAGCATTCTAGAAGGATCTGCTCCTCCTTGTTGTGGCCGTCTGGCTTGAACCAACAGGGTCTAGGGTTTCTGAGTGGAAGTCAATCACGCGGAGTCAGTGGTAAGTTAATGTCTCTGTAGAACAACCGCTATTTGATCAGAGTCTACCGAACGGGCCCAAACTACATTCCTTTTCGGACTCTGCCTGCCTAGAGCTCAAGGAGGCTATCTTTTCAGGAACCCCTGAAACGGTGGCTCTGTATCTCATCAGAGCCACCGTGAGACCCAGACAACCTGAGCTCATGTTCTCGAAACCCTGATCCTTCTTCCTGCTCTACCCTGGCCTCAGAGCAGGGGACCTGTCTACCCCAGGCATATGCTACTGGAGCCATACCATCCCCCATGTTCTGGCCCCCAAGACCCCAG